TCCGGTTCCTGCCCAGACCCTCACCATTCCCCGCCACAACACCAACCTTTTTGCTTGCCACACACTACACAGCCACACACACTAAGGCACTGATATAACGACATTTTCTCTGGGTAACAATGCAAGTCCTTGCTGTTTCTTTAACAACCTACCCGACATTGCCTGGTTCATCTGTCATTGTCATTAGGCATGCCACACCTGGTCTGGTCTTATTGTATACTCGGAGTCTGCAAGAGCTCTTCTTCTAAATAGGTTTTGTTCCAAAACAACCAAAAAGAAGATAAGATACTCGAAACCCCCTTTGCGATCCAAGCTTATGCCACCCTTCAGAGGCCAACGTGTCCAGCTATTTCTATACCCTAACTTATTCCTCGCCAAACCACCAGCGACGACGGAGATATCTGGAATTCGAGAAGATCAGTACGCTGGACATGACTGTCGCTCTCAATCTCAGCTTACAGGCTATGCTGTCGTAGCATCGAGTTCATAGGTATCGGTCGCAACAGCCCGCCGACGCTGGCGCAGAACAGTACCAGCAAGAGCAAGGAATCCAATTACCGCCGTTGTCGCTGCGAGATAGGTTCCGATTATATCGAAGCCGAGCTCAGTATCCGCCGAACTAGACCGCAAAATGACATCCATAATGCTGACTTCGGTCGCTGAGGGTGCGACGTCAATGACTCCAATACTAGATGGAACAAGCGATGAGATGTCTGATAGAAAGATTTATTCAGTGATTACTGGGGAGTTTGATCCTTGATCTGATTTACACCTCGCCAGAGACGACTATTTATACCATTCAGAGATTCGATACGACGCATCTGCGTTCTCGTCACTGCATTCACAAGTGCATTGGAAGACGTCTGGGTTCTGCGGTGTGTGGAGCTTCGAGTATCTGTGAATTTGCGACATACGTTCAAAACATTGCGGCGACAACAACTTCAATGCGCTATTGGGTAGACACATCGTGAGGCTATGTGAGGATTTAATCAGGTTTCATCCGTCGCGCATCGCGGATACGCATTATCCTTCCGAAGTGCGCTATTGGACACTGATTGCTGGTAAGAACACTATCATGACCAAGGCTATCTCCGGCGTCGCAAGTTTGTGGATCTACGCTTACTGCTCGTATTGCGACATTGGTGGACGAAATTTCCAGTCGAAGCCACTTTTTGCTGCAATGCCAACCGACGTATGGCTGACGCGGGGAAGGGTGTCTGCATCCGCGTGACATGCGCCATTGGCCGGTGAAGAAGCGACACCACTTGATTGGCCGTTCCTTGCATCGAAGGACTTTAAGCATACATACTGACACCGGTATTTCTGAGCCCAGTGAACACTGAACTCACTTAAATCTCACAGAATGGTAATCATTCCATACAGGCTCTTCAATCTCTCCCTACAACCAGGGCTTAGCTGCGTGATGTCTACTACCGGTCGGACCCGACCAAAGTGCGATAGATGCCGCAAGGACAAGAAGAGGGTAAGATGCTCGTGGTCATGTTCCGACAAGGGGTGGTCTAACAAACATAGTGTCTCCCAGTACGACGTGCGTGGCCTGCAGAAAGATGCGATAGGTGCAAAGCTCAGGAGCACCCGTGCTCAGAGGCGCAAATGACCGTCCGACGCAGCAGACCCTCCGTGGTTTCTCCCGTACGCAGCGAACACCGGCTGGCCGAGTTCCGTCAAATAGCTTCAAAAGATGCTCCTGCTGGGAACTCATACCATGGGCCAGAACCTGAATGTTCTCGAGGGAATGCTGCAACAACCAAGACACGAGAGGCGTGCGTAGCTTAGAGCTGATGATATCGGTCTTTTGTTTGCTAACAGTTTGTAGCGTCTTGCTTCTGTCAATAGCTGAAGTTATCACCATGGCTATTGAAGAATTGATTACAATAGCCACTGTGATGACCAAGCCATTTATACACGACACGCGATATTCAAATCCACGAGGCTGTATGCCGAAAGTACAGAGTTGCGTGGACGAATTGCACACTTTCGCTGACAGACTCGTGTCAAGTGCGCTCGACTTGGAAGCTGGACCTAGTCTTTCCAATGCCCAAGCTGCTCTGGGAAACAAGCACGTCGCAAAATCAGCTAATTGGACCGACGATCATGCTGCACTGACGATTGCCATCCGAAAAACAACCTCATGGAGTACTTGTGATTACCCAGGTCTTTCGCATGTGCTACAAATCAAGCTTTTCCGCGACCAGCCTGGTTTGCTCACCGACAATGCTGAACCATTCCTGCTGTACAGAGATGGTTTTCTGTTGGCGGCCCGCCGACTTCTCGATCGACTGCAATTCCAGGTGCCAAGTTGCCTAAAGTCCTCGCAGTTCTTTATTCCATGTGCGTTCGCTAGAATACCCATGGTTGCATCGCGGTTATACCAAAGCAATGACCCAGATTGCCTTGGTAGATCCGTATCCCACATCTTGTATGATGCGAAGGTCTTAGGGCAATGGCGACCCAGTGACAGATAGAGTGTTGACGTTCTTTCGCGATCAAGCTTGTATCTTGCTTGCTGTGAACGAAACCACGACCGCATACAACAACTTGTCCGAGCCAACGTCGACCCTAGTGTGAAAGCGGACAACGGTCTGTATCCATTAGACATTGCGGTAATATCCGGAGACCTCGAGGCCTGTAGGACTATTTGGAGGGCGGAATCGAGATCTCATGTCTATGAGGACAGCCGATATGATACTAGTGCAGATGATTCGCGTCGGTCACCATTGCTCTGGGCTACCTATTTTGGACATCTCCACATTATCAAGCTCTTTCGAAGCTACCGTGACACCCACCCACATACTACGGCCTTGGAGGACGGCTGGTTTTGTACCGCTATTGGTCTTGCAGCCATGCGAGGGCAAAAAAACATTGTTGAGTACCTGAGCGATTGCCAGTACGATATGCCAGATCTCTGCGGACGTAGCCCTTTTTGGTATGCGGCATCCAACGGGCATCTTGACATCCTGGAACTCTTGTATAGGGGCAATCCATCAATAGACCGGCAAGACAACGAGGGATTCACCCCAGTCGCTGCCGCAGCACGAAATGGGCGTCTGCGAATCGTGAATCACCTTCGTAGCATAGCCGACCTCTCTATACCCACGAACACAGGACAAACTCCATTGTCTTTAGCAACGTCCGCAAGACAACTGGAATGTGTTAAGTCGCTCTTGGGACCCAGTATCCCTGCTTTGGGCGCTCTGGAAGTACGCAAGATATTCGCTGTTGCTCAAAGGAATGGCTACTATGAGATCTGTAGGGTATTCCAAGATCATGGGCTCTTTTCTTGAATGTCACGCAACGCACAGATATCACTGTTCTACAGTATGGTTTATGAATCTTCTATACTTCATGTTGAACTGCACCAGACGCTACTGTCATACGTCACTCTCTCCTTACTGTAGCCTCATTCGATATGACTACTAAACCTCTCGACCCTTTCTTTCCTCGCCCACCTCCTATGCCCTTCCTGCTCAATCCTTCCCATCAGCTTCTGCGGAAGATCTAGATGAGGACTTCCGTCTCCCAATACTTCCAAGCTTGTCTTCAAGAATCTCGCCTTGAAAGCCTCCCAAAGCTCGTCGTCAGCTGCCTCAGTGCCACCTGGTCGGGGGTAGTAAGGATCGTTTCTGAAGAATGCAGCACACGCTTGCTCCAGCCCATCTTCATCCATAGACATATGCTTCACACGATCGAAGTCCAGAATCCACATGACATGCTCGCCGAGATACTCTGGTAGGAAGGTTGGCGATGACATGGATCTGGGAGGCGCAAGAACAAATTCGACATCGTCCACGTCGACTCCAGCACCCCAGTACATCAAAGCAAGCGCATCCGCCATAGTCATCGCATAAGCAACAATATCGAGGCCAAGGTCTTCCATTTGGTTGATATGCAACGCAACGTTTCGGAGGCTGAAACGCAGGAAACGCGATGTGCTTGTCAATCTATTCCCCTTCCGCCGGCCTAGGTAGGGTCGAATGAGACAGTCACCATCATCGTTATTACCCTTCACAAAGGCAGCGATCGGTGGATTTCCAGGCAGAGATAGATCTACGATCTTGTCGCTGACTGATCGGGGTACTTTGGGGATTCTTTCCGATATGAGCGCTCTGCACTCTTCATAGCCAGTCGGGAAGCGATGGAGACACAGATCCCACCAGGACAGGTCGCTCGGCTGGATAAGCTGATAAAATTGAGGTATTGCGAGCGGCATAGAAGCCGGGTGTTGTTCAATGCTCTGACTGATCTTGAGATGCATGTTGTAGTCGTTCGTGATCGATCGTCCAGGGCCTCCGTCCTCGCGCTTGACGACGCTTGTGCTGTCTTCCTCGGCGATCCAAACGCTGCCGCAAAAGCCTTTTCCGATACATCGATACGGATTGTGCCCGTCGAACATGATGAGAACACCAACAAAGTGGTGACTTGCTTGTTGATACGATTGTAGTGGGTGAAAGCGATGATGCGAAGAGTGGTCTTATATAACGAACGCGATTGACTCAGAGTGGTACCATGGTTCTCCAACGATTCGACCGTGCAATGACATTGTAGTTTATCATGTACGAGACTCTTACAACCGCTATAGCACAGATGACATAAGTGATACTAAAGCTTTCCCGACTACCGATAAAAGCTAAGAAAGTATAATCCTGTCAAGTATTTTCGTCTACCCTTTTACCCCACGAAGTGCGCAACGACCATACCGAGTCTTGCCAAGATTGCACAGCCTGGAGAGAATGTATTTCGGGCACGTCGCAAACTCCCTGGCTCAAATGCGCCTTGAGACATTGCCGTGCCAGACGGTAGCGTCGTTGCCTAACGACCGTGCCGCGGGTGGCCTGAGTTTATGAACATATAACCAACACCCAACACTCACATGCACCTTAGTAGCCAGAGGAACGTAATCGAGCTTGCTTCAAGACTGTCTCACTCTGTGAAGCTCTAGCCCTTCATCGGCCTTTCGTTACTAAATCTTTCCCGCAGCCATGGGTCAAAGCCAGTCTCAAGCAGCAGATCAACCCCCAGAGCCGCAACTCAGCCAGGAAGAGCGCTCACAAAGGCAAGCTGAGGTAATTTTCATGATCGCTCAGCCTATGTTACATTATTGATATGTCTAAAGATGCGCGCAAAGCAGCAGGCGGCCCTCGACAAGCGTTTTACCAGTCAACCAAGGTCAAGGAAGCCCTCGCCCACAGGCGCGCAAGCTAAGAGGAAGCCAACTGCGCTCGAGGAAGCGAGCAAAGAGAACATCGGGTGGCGCAATGCCGATGCACAGGCAGAATTCAGAAATTGGAACTAAGGAATGTTGCGACCGGACCGTGACGAAGAAGATTGATGTAACAGGCGTTGGCGACAATATGGAAGCTGAGTTGTCCTTGTATGGGCTGCTTATCACCCGGATCACCGGGTTCGATCTGAGAAGGCGTTATAGAGTGGAAGTAGAAAGGGGATAGGAATGGCTTCCACAGGCGGACATGGCGTTCTCGGATTTCCCAAGCAGAGCAAATAAGCAGATTATATCCTTTTCTTATGGTATGCCGATTCTGTCGCATCCTGAGTCCAGGAGGCGTGCTTCCTCACGGAGCTATCAAGAGTGCAAGGAGCCAAGGGGCCCGCGGGGAAGCGCATCCGCGCTAGCGGATTAGTCATCATAAGCCGCAACCCAGCCCCAAATCATCGTAACTTTCTATTGCACTCATGCACCCGACTCGTCATCGCCACTATGACGGAACAGCGCGTCGCAAAGCGCAAGACTCACACCAAGTCGCGAAAAGGATGCTTCCAATGCAAACAGAGACATACCAAAGTACGTGTCCACATTCGATCCTTTCGCTGCGTCCTCCAGCCAATCACAGTGTACCATCCGATATGCTGCCTTTACCCAGCAAATGGTCCCTCAAGCTTAGATCCCGAACGCGACAAGTACAGGAAGGCTGCGAAGCTTCTATGTTATGATCTGCGCCTCTATACTTACCACATTTCATAGTGCAATGAAGCGCGCCCCCGCTGTGGAAATTGTGTTCGCTTGGACATTCATTGCCATTTTCCATCAATGCCAGACAGCTACTCAACATCTCCACAAAACAGCCCAGGTGTCTCCTCACCTTTCGTTGATACACATCATGCTGAAAGCCCTGAAGCAAGTCCGACTAATTCCGAACTGCCACTCGCTGATCTGCGTCTGTTGCATCACTGGACAAAGTCGTGCGCAAAGTCGTTGCATCCAAACCCTGCAATCCGGAGTGTCGTTTGGCAGGTAAGATTCTCCACTATTTGTCGCCTTGTGGAGGCTATGAGGCTGATAATAACTTGATTCGCAGAACGAGTTCATCGAGTTGGGCTTCGAGTACCCATTCCTCCTTCGCGGCTTCTTGGCTCTTTCAGCAGTTCATAAAGCATCCTTGCTTGCGCCCAGCGAAAGACAGAACCTTCTGCTCCAGGCAGACTCACATATCAGCCATGCATTAGATACCTATCGAAAGAACCTAGAGACGCCAAACGTTGAGCTGGCGATACCGATGTTTATGCTATCCTCGGTCATCCTAACTTACAACTTCGGTTCAGCACAGCTTGAGCGTCCCGAAGACCCCATTCGCGCGCTTCATCATTGCTTTATGCTGCTACAAGGCATCAAGATTGTAGTAATTCCTCACTGGGATCGGATCAAAGATAGCTCTGTGTTCGCTCACATGACGGACATGGCGCCCCCAGAAGCTTTGGATGCATTGGACACGCTTGCAAGGGAAGAGAACCCCCAAGAGATTCTCCGGCTCAAAGAGCTTACCGAACTTCTGCTGGACAGTCAGGATAAAGAAGCCTGTTCCACCGCTATCGACGAACTCCACGTAACCTGGCTGCGCTTTCGGCACATATCACCGGACCGTGATGAATATTCCCTGCTCTTTCTTTGGCCTGCTAGGCTGAGCAATCGGTTCTTCGACCTCCTTGCATGTCATAATCCAGTGACCTGTATCATTACGACACATTTTGCTGCACTGCTGGCCCAATGTCGTCCAGTATGGTGGGTAGTGAAGTGGCCTCAATGGCTTCTCGTTGCGTCTGAACAATTGCTGGCGGCGACACCGGATCTTCTGAAATGGCTTGACTGGCCGCAACAGATCATCCATGCCCAAGCCTGGACTGCGACGACCACTCCAGCAGCTTCTTGAGGACCGGAGTTGGTAAGAACCTTGGCACCATTAACACCGCGCTCATTATATCATACCACCAGTTGTTGGACTTGCGCAGGTGTTTGTACTGGCATAGCCCACCTCCATGCGCTGTTGATGGTTGTTCGTCGTGCTAGCAACGGGTCTACACTGCGAGACTCAGGCAGACTCAAAGAAGGGCATAGCTTGCGAGTTGCCGCGTATTTGAAGCAATGTCAATGAGGCGAAGCAATCGAGAAATCCAATAATGGAAGGGGTCCTGCACCGTTTAAGTCCCAAGTCCTGCGGCTAGTCCGGCAAGTTCCATACGGCCGATACGGGACCCACCAAATCTCCCTAAGAGGGTAAGACGTCTTGGCAGCGTATTTCGTGAAGCGTATTCCGTACAACAACTTCAATGCGTTCTTAGCTTAGGCTAAGGATTGTGCTGTGGGTTTGTTCTTTAAGATGTCTCGACAACGCATTTTGAGATGTAGGAGTATCGATTCCAAAGACGCATCGCTTTCCTTATATCACGACTGAACATGTCCGACACCACATACCGACCGGCACTCGATGACCCTAACGCATACGTTCTCTACCGGTACATTCCCTCAACAGTAGCGGCGATTGTTTTTGTGGTTGTTTTCGGTCTCACCACTTTGGCCCATGTTTTCCAACTCATCAAGAAGAAGACATGGTACTTCACACCTCTCGTAGTTGGAGGTCTTTGTAAGTCTGGAAGTAACCTGCGTCCAAGACGGCATCGCTGACGAGACAACACAGTCGAGGTCATAGGATTTATTGGGCGCTACCTCTCGCATGATGATGTTTGGGCACTCGGACCATTTATAATGCAGTCGCTGCTCATTCTACTTGCTCCGGCACTATTCGCGGCGTCTATCTACATCATACTAGGTCGAATCATCCTGCTGGTGGATGGAGAGCGATATTCGCTGGTGCGACAGAAGTGGCTCACGAAGTTGTTCGTCACAGGAGATGTGCTCAGCTTCCTGATGCAAGGCTCAGGTACGTACATGATGCATTGCTGCCATTAGATTGCAAGCTAATGTCTGATATAGGCGGCGGTATTCAAGCGATGGGTACGCTAGAAGCCTTGCATACCGGCGAGCAAATCATCATCGGCGGTCTTTTCGTCCAATTGATCTTCTTCGGCCTTTTCATCGTCGTGTCGGGAGTTTTTCACTACCGCCTCGTTAGAGATCTTCCTCTAAAGAAGCGCTATAGTCCGTTGTCGCTGTTCAAATCTCGGAGATCTAGCCCAAGCATACACACCTCATCCACCGTACCCAGGGCCAGTCTATCGGGACTACCTTGGAAGCGTCACCTCTACACCCTATACCTCGCAAGCGCTCTCATTATGGTGCGAAGTATCTTCCGCGTCGTAGAATACATCCAAGGGAACGCAGGATATCTACTCAGCCATGAGGTATACCTCTATATCTTTGATGCCACACTCATGTTCTTTGTCATGCTGGCATTCAACTGGACCCATCCAAGTCAAATTACAGACGCGTACCAGAAGAGACTACGGAGCGGCTCGCCCATTGAGCTCCAACATTCCCACGATTCAGCGACAGGCGCGGATGAGGAACACATGCTAGAGAGTCGGGAGGCGAAGAGTAGTGTACGCACTGGTGGCTGGGTTCCTCCCCGAGGCTAAGAAGAATTGTCAGCGACACCACCGATTCTTCATCATGAAGGTGGATTCATTAATCAACCAGATATACCCAGGAAGAGTGCTAAGCAAGGGATTTCTTTTAGAACAAGACTTAGTAATATAGATTTATGTCAACGAGTTATACAGATATTGTTATTCCCATATAAGAATTGCCCCATCGTAATACAACCATTAAATTAGAGATACTTCTCAGGCAGACAGCACCATATCAAACACAGCCATTATAGGCGCAGCGATCACAAGATCTTGATTCTAGTGGGGGAAGAACATTCAACGCCACCAGGGCAAAGCCATGTTGTTTATTGAAATATGTGAAGGAGAGCCCTCATGATGATGATGATTCACAGGGTCTGCTCCTTCCTTGTGTCTGTAGTCTAGTCGTTCCCAAGAACCAGTGCCATTATGCTCTTGCTGACGCTCAAGGTCCAATCGCCGGTAGCATGTGAGCTTCGCCTTGATTGGCGGGCCCAACTCCAACTCTCTTGCGTCGGAAAACATCCCCAACCCTTTGACCAATGTGGACAATGGGGCCTGAGTTCGGTAGTATGAGTAATCCCATAGCACGTGAAAGATGATAGTCTTTTTTATCCATGTAGGTGTGACGTAGGTTATGCAAGATCCCGATGCCTGCCATGCGAATCATGCTGCACGAAATTTGGAGTTGCATGGTGGAGCTCCGACGTCTCTCCGCCTTCACGCCGAAGGAGACTCAATATCTCTAGAGCGCAAAATTCTCCTCGGCGCCGAGTGATACAGGAATTATAGGTTTTCAAGATAACTATCTTAGTTCTGCTGTGAAGGGCCTGGTTGTCGTCGTGAGCCCAGCTTGTCTGCTTGGTTTTGCAGATAAATGGCTATCCTTCGATCTGGACAGTTCATATGCGAATTGGCGAGCTCTAGCCACTGCCGTCGCTCCTGCTCCAACAGATTCAACTCTGCTTTCAAAACACGGTTTCTGCGCTCGGCTTCCCGGGATGTCTCAACCAGCTGTTCCTGCTCCTGTTTTTGTTTGGTCCGACATTTGCTAGCAGCTTTGCGATTCTTTTCGAGGTATATAGCCCGCGCTGAGCCTGGCTCAGCGTACTGGTATCTCGGTCTCCGTCGCCCTGGTGGAGGTGTTGTCATCGGCGACGCAGCTTCTTCCTTTGGGTAAAGACTGTCGTGTCGCCCTTTGACATCGGTATCTTCGTAGAAATGCGTCGCATCGTTGGCATCGAACTGGGTTTGCGAAGGAGAGATAGTTGGTGTAGTGTGTGAGTTTGTAGACCGGTTGGAAGGCGTGAACGCCGAAGCGTGGTCTGCGACGGGGTATGCGTTCGCAGTCGATGTTAAGTTCGTGTTGACGACTGCGCTCGAGCCAAAAGGCTGTGAGTTAGACGACTGGTGGATGAGCGGCGCATAACTTCCCATATACTGGTATCCCGCGCGTCCCTCATGGTGTGGGGTCGATGTAGTGAGATTCGACATAAGCCCGTAATGATCGTGACCAGCAGAATCTGGTGTTTGCCCTAGCTGTGCTTGGTTTGGATGATACACGCGGTATCCTTGCTGTCCGGGCATTATAGGAGTATGCCCGTCTGGGATATGGGAAAAATGTTGATTAGAAGGCATGAGTACTAAGCTCATGTTAACGATCTTCTGCCTGTGAGGTCTTGTGTTTCAGGGTGATCCGCTACCACCTTCGCAGAATCAGCACTGAATATTGAATGTGGTAGTTTAAACCAACACCGGACGGTACGATTGGCTTGTTGAGAAATAACACAGGGTACTGAGGAATTTCCACGTGTCTGGAGGGGTCAGAACGGCTGAAATTATACAAGGGGATTCTGAAATGATGTGGGCAGCAGATACGTTATTGGGAAAGAAATAATTCACTGTTTATCCATGGTTGGCGGCTTCCACAACCGTGGACGGCATGACCCTGCCCAGGAGTTATGATACCGAGCGGGGCAGTCTCGGCTGGTGCGCTGAATCGAACGCGTGGCACCGGTACTAGGCACGCAAGTCTACTGTGTACTGTAGTGTGTCGAGGAAGCCAATGGCGGTGCGGAAGACATGCCGATTGAGATAGCTATGCGGCAGCGTATACCGCGACCAATAGAACTAGAGTCGCATTGCATGGCACTGCAAAGAGACGCGCTTTGCGAGGCTGGTATTGATCACATCGCTGGGTATGCTAACATAGAGTCGTCCGCTAGCTGAGCAGTCGCGTTGAGAGGCGGTGGGAGAAGAAATAATTCAACGAACACGATTAGGCAGCGCAGCTGCCGTCGACGAATCAGATCACGAGATGAAAGCGGGCCCTCGGTGGTGGTAGGAACGGCGCGCTGGCGTTGCAGCGGGGAAGACTAGCCAGCGGCATGACGTCGGTGTGTCTGTTCAGAGGTTCTCAACCAAACCAAGAGCAGCAACTGTTGCATCAGGTACGGTTGAGTGGTCTGCCCTAGTCGTCTCGGTGGATGTTCGACGTTGAACCACGTGCCGCCGCTAATGCGAGTCGCCAATTATGCCACCAGCCACCATACCCTTGGAGCCCCATCAACTGCTCCTGAAATTATGTCTCCCAACCGGCTGCACAGTCGCAAGCGACAAGCGAGAATAGAAAAGGTCCTAAATCCTACAGCTCCACACACGCACGTCTGAGAGATGACAAGATTCCAAATTCAAACTCAATGCGCTCACGAGCTCGTTGCTTTTGCGCGTCCGTCGTACCAAGATTGGCGCAAATTTAAATTCGAGAAGGATGCCGATGCCGCTTTAGGAATATTCCTCCGCGGATGTACGTATGTGTCATATCGGCAGTTTAGCTCTCAAGCTCGTAGTACATTTACTGGGTTTGGTGTTGCACTGTTACTGTACGTCTCTACGCAGACGTCATTCTGCTTGGTGAATCCTCTCGGCCAAGTCTTCCGAGCCCCTACGAAATCTCCGATAGGCCGTTCGTTCTTGACCATAAGTATATTCCCAGGGTCAGGGCCTGCGGAACAGGCAAGGTTGTGGTGGGATGCATCGTTAATCCTAAGAGAAGAAAGTCCTTGCGAGCCGCGATTCTTAGCCGACAACAACGAACAGAGTGCCAAATCGCAAGGCTGTAGATTAACTTCGTCGACTCTGAACTCTTCATCGCAATACTTTATGCGAGTAATAGACTGGTGGGCAAAGCCAGTTCAATGACATGGAGAGCTCGACAAGCATATGTTCGGAAAGAGGCTTGTGGCCCAATCAAAATACATGATTTTACTGCCTCCAGTAAGCCCATAATCTCCGGGATAGAAAAGGGCTTTTCGTGGCATCGATCGATCACATCTCCATACATGCAGCCGAATCTGAGATCCCTACCCGTAGATTAGGTGCCACCACTGCATCACATCTTCAGGCGTCAACGATCCGCGGAGTAAGTACAATAGCAAACGAGCATCATGCAGCTGTCGGGCCCAGATCTGCCGAACTTGTAAGACCCAAAACATCGGAATCGACGTTGATTACAACTTTACGACCCTGTCCCTTCGTTTGGTCGGACACATGTTGTCATGAACACTACAATGGAGCAGTGAAGACGTAGACTTTCACTTCTCGAGGTTTGACCGAACTAAAATGGCTTTGTTGGAAGAAGGGATAGTGCCGGGCAGCAAGAGGACCCTTGCGCTCCAGATGCATCGCCGGCGTCTATCTGGACCTTGGTTCGCCTAGCCTCTGTTTTACTTTCGACAAAACCGTAACCAAACCTCAACGTAGACACTGCTTTCTGGAAGGCGCTAGACCTGCGCCATTGACACATCGCATTATTCCCGTCACGGGCATTCGAATCGAGGTTTGATCTCATTGCGTACCTACAGCATATACGCAGCGCTGTTGCTTTAGGGTTCTCCTTGCTTTTGTGGGCTATCTCTTACCTCGCGTGACACAAGGATGTGCGCCAAAGTTCCTCATATCTATACCCCGCTTCTTTCTCATGACTTGTCCTATTTGATCTGATGCTTCCATCGAGCGATGGTTCAATTTTCCTGATTCTTTCACTGTATCCCTTCACGATGATCCATCGATGCGACTTTCATGCATCGAAGATACAAGTCAATTTTGCAGCATATGTCTTACGGCAGTTATATGATTCTATTGAGGTTGACATCTGTATTTATGTCCATTGCGGTAGTCGTATAGTTAGAGTGCTCATCGCAACGCTGCTCTCAAGTCGCAATCGGGCGCAGGATAGATGTAAGGTCGCACTATAGCCAGAGCTTGTCAAGATGCTACTAGGCTCTTTTCAACCTCTAGGTACCCCAACATCCGCAGTAACGTACCGGACTGGTTTTCAGGGGAGAAGGGCAGAGATCACATTGGTTCACAGTTTCCTGGCCGAGGGAGCGATTGCCGTTCGTGAGCGCGAACCTAGTCTGTGCACAGTCTGACTCCGACTCCGACATCCGACGAAACCACAAGGCGAATCTCCGATTACCGGGACAAGTGAAGTTATAATGTTTGCCAGAGTCAGAAACGCTAATACGGTTCAACAGGCGTCACGCGCCTACCCAGACCCTTAAGCGACCGTTGCGGGTAATGTTTCCCGGGTTTCCTCCCGGCTCGCCAACGACTACCCGACCCTTGAAGATCCGCTTTGACAACCAGACATAGTAGCTAAACGACCCTGCTGCTACAGGGTCTCACGATTACACCATCTTCGACAAGTACCCAAACTCTGGCAATCGAATAATCGAAACGAAACATCCGTAAAATGCGCGTAATTGTTTTCGGTGCATCTGGTGTCCAGGGGCGACATCAAGTTCACGTCCTGGCTCGAGCAGGTCACTCAGTTGTCGCTGTAAGCCGCAACCCCAAACCCGCTCTGGTGGACGAGAAGTCCGTGGAGACATTTGCTGCAGATTTCACCGACCGAGATGCCATTGCAAAAGTGCTCGAGGGCGCCGACAGAATCTTTCTCAACCTCCCGTCTACATCCTTCAACCAATCAGAGCCCATCATTGCTG